AGGAAGGAGGTCCGAGGAGTACAGTGAATAGAAATAGAAATAGAGGCAGGATTTATTGTAGACCAATGTGACATGATGAAGAAATAAATAAGGTTCTAATATACAGGGGGTGTTCTACCAACTCAAAGATGGGTAGAAAATAGCATTGCAGCTCAGCTCTAGAAAAGAGTCTTTACTATTCCAAATCAGAATGAAAACTGCAGACATTAATGAACAAATAGTCCGATCTGGAATAAAGTAACATCTTCAGTTCCTACTAATATCCATAAAAGGGTCTTCTTTCCACCTACTGTTGGCTGAAATAAGAAATGATGTGTGAGTGGCTGACTGATAAGGACCTGAACCTTGAGCCTCTTGTTCACAAGCTTTGTATCTAAGGGCTTATCTGTGACCTGTTCCCCTTGATTCATAATGACATCTCCGTGTATTACACTCTAGTTAAACAAAACAAAACAATAGCTCAAATCTCTGAAGCCAGCTCACTGCTATAAAGGGTGTATCACAGAATAAATATCAGTCAAGGCCATTTAAATCAACTATTGAAACGAGCAAGAAATAAAACTAATTTGATACATTTATATAAACTAAATTCTAACAAAGATCACGTGTGACCATTGGAATATTTTAATATCCAACTATTGCCTTAGTCTTACACTGACAACTTGCACTTTTTCTTTAAATATTTATATTTTGTACATTTTCTTCATTTTTACCAAATGATCACACACCATTTTATGTTCATACACAGGGTCTTTTCTATGAGCAGCATCTCCCTCAGCTTCTAAAATTAATTGTGAGAGTATTAAAATCAATATATTGATCAAAACATTATCCTTTGCTTCTCTTTGCCTTAGTGTAGTCCCATTCCTCTAGACACAGCTGCAAAAAAAATAGAATGCATCAGGTTGGTACATAGAGATTAGCTCCAATAGTTGAACGCTGGGTCATCATTCATTGAAATCACCCTGGCCAGTTTGATATATTGTAGCAGGTCTAGGACAACTCATCACAACCAACTCGCCATGGCCGTCTTGCAACAGCCAACCCAGCGTGGCCATTTTGTCATGGCCATCTTGCTACTGCCAATTCGTGGTGGGACAACTCGCTGCAGGCAATCTATGTAGGATAAGTCAAAATGATAAATGTTATCCACCACTGTTTCTTCTACATTTCCATTTTTGTCAATGGAAATAAGGTTGAAGAAAGAGTGGCGGATAATATTTATCATGTTGAGTTATCCCATGTGGAATGTAGATATATATTAATATATCTACAGATATACAGATTCCTTAATATGGATGTACGGTACTTGATAATTTAGAGAAACTGAGCATAAACTAGAAGTATGCATCAGAGCCACTTATGAGCTTCCAGCATCCCTGTAGTCACATGATCAAAATGTTAATGCTTAGCAACTGGAATGTATTTATGATAGTTGCAGTCTCCTGGGTTCATGTGGCCCCCTTTTGCAATCTTCTAACAAGCAAAATCAATGGGGAAACTAGATTCACATAACAACCATGTTACTAACTTAACAACTACAATAATTCACTTAACAACTGTGGCAAAGAGGTCATAAAATGGGGCAAAACTCACTTAATAACTCTCTTGCTCAGCGATGGAAATTTTGGGCTCAGTTGTGGCTGTAAGCCAAGGATTACCTGTACTCCATAAATTCTTATAGTGCAAGTAAAGCACAGGTCCACGTGGGATGCCATTCAAAAATCAACATGGTTCTTGATGCAGTAAAAACCATACAGCTCAGGTGAAGGACAAAACCCACACCAGAACAATAGCGCGAATATCTGTAGCTCAAGTGTAGGATGAGGGTGAAGGTTCCTTCTCTGAGCTTGTGGGTTGGTTTTCTAATGTTTCATTACCAAGCTAGGTAACATCTTCAGCGTTTAGGGGATGTCAGTGTCAGTGCTCTGTTTATAAGGGTTTCAGATGGGGGGGGTGTCAAGTGAGGGTCTTGTGATGGGTCAGGTTTGAGTCATAAATTAAGGCTTGTGATGGGTCTTGTGATGGGGAGGTTACATCAGGTCAGGGTCAATGGGAGATGAACTGCTGGTGGGAGGGGGAGGGGTCAGGTATGAGTCATCAGTGAGAGGTTTGTGAAGGGTCTTGTGATGAGGAGATTACACCAGGTGAGGGTCATTGGGAGGGTCCACCAGCAATTCACCTCTGAATGACCCTGACCTGATGTAACCTCCCTATCATAAGACCCATCACAAGGCTCTCACTGATGACTCATATCTGACCCATGATGAGACCTTCAAATAACACATCCACACCTGATACTGTGTGGACACTAACATTCCCTAAACTCCACTGAAGATGCTACCTAGCCTGATAATGAAACATTCAGAAGCCAAACCACAAGCTCGGAGAACGAACCTTCACCCTCACCACCCCAGAACATTTTAACCAGTACATATGGGAAGATGTAAGTGTATAAGATAAAAGCTTTGCTTTGGGACTATCAATCATATCTCATCAAAACAGTAAGACATTAGGAAGAATCTTTCTTTCTTCTTCTGTTTAACCTTGCTTTCTGTATATATTTAATTTTAAATATATTTAATTTTAAAAAGTCATCCATTCAAGTGTGAAAAAAGACAAGAAAAACAATATAAGACAAAATTAATATAGCCAGACAAAATTAAAATATGGCCAGTGGAAAAGAGGCATTATTTGATTTAGGATCTTAAAGAGGGTACAGTAAATGGAGGGTCTGCAATACAGGCATTACATGTTCCTATGTAACATGTTGGGAGTCAGGCAGCCTATCAGTTATACAAATAAACAAATCTTCCAGATGGTCTCTAAAGACAGCCTCACATAAAGTGCAATGGTCTAAAATAGCAATAGTACTTCGACTTATATACTGCTTCACAGTGCTTTACAGCCCTCTACAAGGGGTTTACAGAATCAGCATATTTCCCCCAACAATCTGGGTCCTCATTTTACCAACCTTGGAAGGATGGAAGGCTGAGTCAACCTTGAGCCAGTGGGAATCGAACTGCCAAACCGCTGGCAGTTGACAGTCAGCAGAATTAGCCTGCAGTACTGCATTCTAACTACTGCCCACCACGGCTCTAAAAGGTGGTGATAATAGCGTGAAGCACTATCTAAAGGTCCTCTTATTTCAGGAAAGCCCCGGCCTCCACCTCTAACAGGAGCTGTGCAAACTCCAGGGAAGTACCTTCTGATTCAGACTAACCACTGCAGCCTAAAGAGAACTGTGCCAGAGTATGCAACTCTGTGTTGCAAGGGTTCAAGGATCTGTCACCTGGTGGTCTCTCCTTGATCCTAATGACCCCCATTCTAGCCAAAGAGTGCTAATTAGAGAGCCAGTTTGGTTCAGTGATTAAGGCGCCTGGCTAGAAAGGGAGACCTTGAGTTCAAGTGAAAGCCAGCTGGGTGACTTTGGGCTAGTCATTCTCTCAGCCCATCTCACTTCACAGGGTTTTTATTGTGGGGGAAATAGGAGGAAGGTGTGTTCGATATGTTTGCCTTGAGTTATTTGTAAACATAATAAAGGTGAGATATAAATAAACAAACAAGGCTATGTATGCGGACAGTTAGTTTGTGCAATATTTTAATCCACAATGTCCTGAGGATGGCAAAAAGAATTGTTACACAAAGATCACTATGGATTCTATGAAACACATAGTGTGAATGCATTCCTAACTGTAATCAAAGCCTAAATCTATGGAGTTATTCTTTTCACAATTAGCTTGGATTATCCCTGTTCCCTAGTAATCTTACTTCTGCATAACTTCAAAGTTTTGGGGACATGTCTAAGGAATCACAACAACAGTGTTACTCTATATATCTCTATGTATGGCTTTCCCCAAACATTATATGTTTCAACTATGTTGGATAACAAATGTGCTAATAACCATCACAGTTAAATCTCTATAGGATCTCTATAGGTAGATTCATAAAGACTCGTGATCTTTACAGCTATCTTGTAGATAGAATACCTATGTTCAGAAGCAGCATCACTCACTATTTTTGAGTGTTTTTGCTTATCTATCCAAAGTCATGAGCAAGAAATTGGTTTGGGAAAATCTGTAGCTTGTAAATGGACCAAAAATAAAAAAGGGGGGAGACCACCAGCTAGATGCATATTTGCTTGTCAGTTCAATGCTAACTATTGGGACTCCAGAAATGTATCTTCTCTGGAGCAGTCCCTGACTGAAAAATGAGGTTCACCTCAAGATCTGAATGGCTCCATCCAGCTGGTGTTTCAAAGGGCCCTGTGAGAGATGATGCCATAGAGGGGGAACTGATGTGAAGGACTACAGTGAAGCAGCAGTTTCTCAGGAAGGAGGGAGTACATTCTAGAAAGCGGGGAGGACAGACAGTAGGAAGCACAGCCTGAAGATGGATAAGAGACAGGGAAAGAGTATTCAGATAGCCACACCATAGAATTTCCCAGGTTATATCCATTAGGCATTTGGTCTGGCAAGATTCTGTCTGTTGCGTGTAAGCAAATAAAAAACTGAACTTAGATTGAATTGTTCCATGTTATTTTGGGGGCTAGCCTGACAAACCTTGAAGACCTGGCTCTTCACCCAAGCCTTTGACGAGCTGATTGAATCCCCGTTTTCTTCTTTTTCTTTGTTCCCGTCTGGGTTTGTTATCTCTGCCACTTTTACCCTGTATATTGTTATTTTAATATCTTGTTTTAATGTTTTAAATGATATGTAAACTGCCTAGAGCAGGGGTCCCCAACCCCTGGTCTGTGGACCAGTACCGGGCCACAGCATGCCAGCAACTGGTCCACACAAACAAGGAAAGTCCCATCTGCAGAATACAGGCAGAACACAAAACCATGCCCCCTCCAGTCCGCGGAAAAACCTCTCTCCAGGTAACCAACCCCTGGTGCCCAAAAGGTTGGGGATCTCTGGCCTAGAGGCATTGGAAGTCAGGCAGAATATACATTTAATAAATAATAATAATTTTCTCTTCTTCTCTTCCTTTTTCTACAGTTACTGTGACAGTTGGAGGCAGGCAACATTTGCTTGGACTTTATGACACAGCAGGACAGGTAATACATCTCCAGTTTATTTATTTTCAGGCCATAACCTTTCAATCATGAAAAACAAAGCTGTTTTTCTTTCCATATGACATTCTGAAATAGACATTTTTCATTTCTGTAAAACCATAGAAATATATACAGTTCTACAAAAAACATCATATAATTGCCACCCTAAACTTACAATATCAAATATGAATAATTAGAGCAAATCCAGTTTTCCATATCTCAAAGATGTTGCAGGTTTCGCTTGGCATAAAACTTTGACGAGGTCATACTCTTATATCATTAATCTCAATGCTATGGAGTGTCTTACTTTATCCTGCTAGCTTTGTTTCTGACATTTTTAAATTGATTTCAATTTTCCCCTCTCAGAACAGTAGCAACTTGAAAATGTGAACAAGCCAATCTCATGGTTTACACTGGCAACTAGCACCACCTTCTGGTTAATTTAAGAGACTGTTTCTAAAGCTATGTTCCCCATAATATTAGTATTTCTGAACAACTTTAGGAGCTTTGGACCATCTTCAAAGATGTTGAAGTCTTCCTACCTTTTCCTTTCATATTTTTGAAATAAGAAGTGAATTCCCAGCAGTTACTGCAACCAAGACTAAGTAGCAATTCACAGTTTCATCCTGTGTACCTGTTTGCTTTGACAGGAGGACTACAATCAACTGAGACCCCTCTCCTACCCCAACACAGATGTGTTTTTGATCTGTTTCTCCGTGGTAAACCCTGCTTCCTATCACAATATCCAAGAGGAATGGGTTCCGGAATTGAAAGTCTGCATGCCACATGTGCCTTATGTTCTGATAGGAACACAGGTAAATGACCAAAAAGAAACAGTGGAAATGTTCGTCAACGATAAACCAGGGTACTCTGTGAAACACAAACTAGTTGGGGAATAGCTGGGGAAACTTTCCAACAACGAATTGTATTTTATCATAAAAGAATCCAAAGGCTTCCAAAAATGAAAGGAGTTGGGTGGTTTATCTCATTTTAGGCCACCGTAATTTCGGAGGTCCTGAAAATGAGGCACCTAAATTTGTGTAGAAATCAGCATGGAAGAAATAACACCTCGCCTACGAGATGTGCTCAAATAGCTCTGGGCATTTTGCTGCAGAAGTTTATTGTTTGAGAATTAGAGACAGGGGTCTAAGGATATTTAAGTTTTGTGTTTGTCTATACATTTCTAGATTGACCTTCGAGATGACCCCAGAACTTTGGCTCGGTTATTATACATGAAAGAGAAGCCCCTGACTTATGAACATGGCATCAAATTGGCCAAAGAGGTACTGTTTTCCTTCAACAACAGTAGTAGTAGCTAAACTGATATCAGCAGAGTTAAGCCAAAGGCCTTTCTCTTTTTCTCAGGGCTAAACACAGCAGAGATTTCATTCAATCACCATTGCCCCCTAAGAAATATGAAACAATAGATATATCTAAGAGCATTGTCTTTGCAGATCTTGATTTAATTCATTGTATAGTATAATTTGTTTTCATCATCTAAAGTCTTTACTATGCTGGCCCTTAAGAAAACCTTTCACAAACTGGTAGCCTTCAGAAATAAGTCCTAGCATTCCTAGACATTGGTCAATGGAATTTGGGTTGTTGTTATCTCAATATATCTGGAGGACAGTTTCCAAAAACCTCCCTACTTTTAGCATTGGCCTCTCACTGATTTCAGTTATGTGAATAGCCCCAGTCATGTTGCCATTATTTTAGACTTCGTTCCCAGCTTAATAGATACACACATTTTAATTATTTTACTTTGTTACATTTCTTCCATCTAAGAACCTGATGGAACCAGTTTAGAAACACTGAGCTAGTTATCTATGGAGATTCTCAGTCATCCAGGTCATAGTTGTCCCAAAGGTGCTTTTTCATGAGGCAGATGGATTTTCTTGTTTTTCTTTGAAGACGTTTTGCTTCTCATCCAGGAAGCTTCTTCAGCTCAGAGCTGAAGAAGCTTCTTGGATGAGAAGCGAAAGGTCTTCAAAGAAAAACAAAAAAGTCCAGTTGCCTCATAAAAAAGCATCTTTGGGGCTGAGATTTTTAATTTAATTTCAAATTTAGTTGGGGCAGCACCACAAACTATGAGAGACCCTTAAAATACAATGCCTATATTTTTAACTGTACAGTGTATGGCATTCTAAGAATTACTCTCCTGTTTTGGCCATGATCTCTGTAGAAGACATCCTCAGAGGACAGGGAGGAGGCAGGGAAGCCTTGGATAATGATGAGGGCCCAGGAACCGGGGCTCAAAAGGGCAAATGAGAAGAAGAGATTCCTACTGCTAGAGTACCGGTCTGCATTCTCGGATGCTATGGGGGATGTGGTCCTATTGCCCATGGTTAAGTAAAATTCAGTAGTCTGGTCAATTTAAACTCAGCACTGTATACATCTTAGTTACATTTTAATGGGAATTAGGAAAAAGGGGGGTAACACCCTCCTGGCTTGCTCCTAGATTCCCAGAGGCATTTGGTACAGGATGCTGGACTAAGTCTGCCTTCGGTCTGATCCAGCAAGGTCTCTTCTTCTACTTTACTTCTCATTGTCTCTTTCTCTTTCATTCAAGATTGGAGCCCAGTGCTACTTAGAGTGTTCAGCTTTGACCCAGAAAGGCCTAAAAGCTGTCTTTGATGAAGCAATCCTCACAATCTTCAATCCCAAGAGAAAGAAGAAACTTTGTGCCAAGTGTTGCAGCTGCTGCTCAGTTCTATGATGCCTGGAGTTCAAAATGGACCAGAGTTGCCAATTAATAGTCCAATCCTGCACAGAGGGACATGACCAGAAAAAAAAAACTACTTTATAAAGTGATTCCTCCTAATCTGTGATTCCTCTCAAATGCAACTTTGTTTACTTTTCATGCCCTGCTTGTTTGTTTGTTTTTTATCACTGCGCATCTGTAGATACAATTTCATGTTGAGATAACTTCTCTCTGCTTAGCCAGCAGATAAAAGAAAAAAACTTTAGAAATTCTTGATATAGTCAGAATCCATGATGCACCTGGAAGTAAAAAAAGATCTAAGCATCCTAATCCTGTAACTGATCCAAAAAGAACAAGTTTTGTCATTAGCAACCCACAGGAAGAAATTAGCAAATCCCAGTATTTTTTTTCTTTTTACAACCTTGTAGTTCAGGGGTGTTAAACTCGCCTTGTCACGTGACGTGTCACAACATATCACAACTTTTTCCCCATTGCTGGAGCTGAGGTGGGCACGGTTTCGGCAAGACGCATCCAGCCCGCGGGCCTGCTGTTTGACACCCCTGCTGTAGTTCCTTAATTCAGGGTAGAGTCAGGGTGACTGGATACAGCTGAGCATTTACTGGCCGGATGCCCTTCCTGATGCCTACATGGAGTTCGCAGTAGATATTTGTTCACAGCAGATAGTAAATCCCAGTATGAATATGCAATAATGATTGAACTTGAAACACACAAAATAATATTTAGACATTTTTAGGAGCTGACCATGTTGACACATGTAGAAGACCAATGTTTCAATTCAGTCTTTCCAAACTGAACGCACAGCAATACCTTTGAAATAGATGGCATAGAATACAAAGTCATTCAAGTACTATTCTTGTCTTGCTTTTATAAACAAAGAATAATCCAAAGATGGTCTCAGGTTGCATTGTCATGTTGCTATTGGATGTGTGAGAATCCACTTCTTAAATGAAAACTGAGGCTCTCACATTGTGCATTTTTCAAAATCATTTGGAAATAGTAATTGTCTGGATTTGAGAAGTCAGAGGATGCAGGGGAAAATGTACATATGTCCTGTTTGCGAATCTAGTCTTCTCTTCCTAGAATATATTTTTTATTCAAGTATATGTAGCCAACAATAACTACAAACTGCTCTTTAAACAGTATAAATCAGTGTTCCTCAGCCTCAGCAACATTAAGGGGGGTGGACTTCAGCTCCCAGAAAGTTTGAAGTCCACCCATCTTAAAGTTGCTGAGACTGAGAAATACTGGTATAGATGATCTCAGCTCAAATCCAGTTCCTAATTACTAATTTTCTTGACAATATGGGAGCAGTTGGCCATTGTTTTCTTCTGGGACACTTTTTATTTTTTTTAACTCTTAGGATAGTCTACAGGTTTGGTATTATTCCTTGGTGGTCTTCCATCCAAGTACTAACTACGCCTGTAACTGTCTAACTTCTGAACTCAGACAGACTAGGATAGGTGGGTCACTTATGCTATTTGCACAATCAAGATCAAAAGGCAGCTTGAGGTAGAATATAAGAAGATCCTGAGAAAATTGATACATGCATCTCACGCACATGGATGTATGCTCACACAAAACAGACACACAAATACACACTACCATTTTACCTCTTTCCCCAACCTGGAAAAACTAGTTTAAACTACTAAAATGCTTACTGGATGCAGGATTTTTATTAGGAGCAGCAGTACATTAGAAGCAATGTTTGCTTCAAAGTTGGGATGAAGCATATACAAAATGGCTTCAACTGCTCTCTTTTTCAATAGCTTCACCTCTTTCTCCCATTGCTTTTGCCAATTCTGCCTGTCTTGATTCAGTCCAATTGGCAATAATCTATGCAGATGCAAAATGATTCCAATCTATGGCCTCCTCTGGTGATCTTTGGAATTGATCCCCTTGCACAGAGAGGCCTGGTTGGCTAGCTTCATCAGTTTAGATGCTATGTGATTGAAAGCACTGACAACTTCTGTTCTTCCTATTAGGTTTAACTAGCTATAAACATATAACTTAGAAGCTACTTGTGAATACAGAAAAATGGTTGTCATTCCAATTCTCACCCAGCTAGGAAACCCCAAGAAAGTACCTATTATAACCAAAAGGCTTTTATTGTTGTAAATGCTTTCTTTGCAAATGTTTTCTACAATTTATATCATTGATACATGATTCTTAAAATAAACATTTTAAATATATATTTGTGTATGTGTATTTTTTCAATGTGTGCATGTGTGTGTTTATAAACGATAGAGACCTTTTAATTAATTTAGTGGAGATTGCTTGACCAAAACTCTCATGCTAGATATGAGTCCTATATGACAAGGATGTTCACAACCTGATTCTTGATCTTTGTCACTGGTGCCCACATTGGTAGATTTTCTATACAGGTAGCCCCCGACTTACAACAGTTCATTTAGTGACTGTTCAAAATTACAACAGCACTGAAAAAAGTGACTTATGACTGTTTTTCACATTTATAACCATTGCAGCATTTCCAGGGTCACGTGGATCAGATGCTAAAGTTGCTAAAGTTCCACTTCCAAAAGAGATGTCCATATAGAGTTCCCGACTGAATGCCTCCCAGGTCCCTGGGGAGATGGGACAGGGCACCTTGGCTGGGCCATTTCTTTGGAAGCATGATGTTATATGCCAGAACGAATCTGAATCATTAGAAAGAGTCATGTCCAATTGTTTGCCATGGCTTTCTTTTTCTTGCATGCCAGCAATTGTTTATAGTATCTTTTCTGCTGGAGGAGGTCCTGTGAAGCCCTCGGCATAGTATTGGATACATAAGTCCGGTAACTGATAGCAAGAGCTTTGTTTGCATTAATACAGTCCTTGTCAAACCTTGGTTTGGATTAATGTTGTTGTTGCTTTGGGGCTGCATTATTAAACAGTTAAATGCTGTAGGAGTTCTTGGGTTGGGGTGTTATAATTCCCTAAGAGTACATCAGGAAATTCAGCTGTGTCAGGGCAGATTGGAGAATCTGCAGATAATTTTAGGCCTAAAGTTTGGTTAACATTTGACTTAAATGTTGGGGTCAGCAAGGACAGTTAGGTACCTAAGTGTTGACACTGAGCAGATCTCTTAACATAGTGATTGGCTTGCCTCTGTCATTGTTACTTGTTGTATGTAGGCAAACATTTCCAAAAGTGACATGTTACTCAAGGGGCCAAAGAATTCCACATTATTCAAGTCATTGCTTCCAAACAGCAAGAAAAGTTTATTCTGAAACATTTGTTATACCATTGGAATAGCCAGGGCTTTTTTTTGTCATAGAACGCCCAGAACGGAGTTCCGGCACCTTTTTTGGATGGAACCTTGTAGGGCAGACAAGGCAGGTTGTATGATATGTGTGAGTTCCGGCACCTTTTTTTTTTTTTTTTACAAAAAAAGCACTGGGAATAGCTCTAAATAGTTGACGGGTGAGCTCTCTTCCTCCCAGTAGGAAGTCCTTGGTATACATTGGAATGGGGGGGGGGGGGGTGAGGATGCAGTTATCTTCACAGTCTGCTGTTCTCTTTTGTTCCCCTAGCTCACCACAAAGTGGTATGCAGTACTGTTGAGTCAGAGAAGGAAGACTGACTAGGAAGTGCCAGTGATAAGTAAACCTTCTTCCTCCCTTCAGAGACAGGACTATGGGGACATACCAAAATGGAGAGTGGGGGGAGGGAGCAGTTATTCTCATGGTTCATCACTCCCTTTGTTTCCACTTCCCTTAGTGAAGTGGCAGGCATTTCCACAGTCAGCTAAGGAGAAGGAGGAAGCAGCTTCTCCCTCTCCTGAAGCCATGAGGGGAGGAGAAACAGCACAAGCCCATATTATAATATGTGGAAAGAAGAATGACCCAAAGAATCATAGGTTGTCTAGTCTACTAGTAAAAAGAAAAATCATTCCAAAGCATGCATAACTTCTTTTAGAGATATTTTTCCCCTAATCATGATGCTGCAAATGTCCACCCAGTTAGCCAGTTTGTCAGTTGGTGTATGAGATGAGGTCCCTTTTGTTGAATATATTATTGCTTTCCACCAATTATTTCTTTCATTATGCAGAATAGAGGAGGGATCACCTGGTGTCCTATTTTCCATCTCTATTCTGATGCAGTGAAGTGCTGGTGTTTAATAAATATCAAGCTAGATTTTTGCTAATTGAATTGAGTAAGGTGTGTGTGTGTGTGTGTGTGTCTGTTGCCCTCATCTGGACACAAGTTATTTAACAAGCAGAAGCTTATCAGAATCATCACTGCCAGCCAAGTATGTATTCCAGGATGTGGTGCACTGTGACCTGAGTTTCAAGAAAAAGAGAACCATTGAGGGAGGAGACAAAAATGTAATAGCCTTCTAAGGGATCCTAAGAGGTCCTATAATGAGGTTTCCTCAATCCTGAAACCGCTATCAATCAAATCGCAGTCTAAAGGAGGAAGGATCATAGCTGAGTTGTATAGCACATTCAGTTCCTGGCATCTCAGCTATCATGTGGTGAGAAAAATTCTCTGCTTAATATTCTGCACAACTACTAACAAGACTGTGTTTCCATTCTGTTTCTTGGCTTAGCTTTGCTCCTCTTAATCTATAAAATCATAAACAACATGACATCTAGCCTTCTTTGAATGCTATTCCAAGTGACATAATATAAACAACTATAATAAGCCTAACTCCTTTCAGAAACCTCATCAGTCTGTTTAAGGATTTAGAGTAGAACATTCTTTTAACGGAGTTGTGAATTTCTCTCCCTTTTAAAGTTCAAAGCTCCACTATCAATATAATGATTTAAATCTGCCATTCTATTTTAAATTGTAACTGTACTTTAACCATTTGATTTAGAATTGTTATGGAGGACCTGAACTAGCATGGAAATATCATGAAATAAAATAAAATAAATAAAAACAAAACAAAACATAGTAATGCACACAGTGATTAGATTTAAGCTTGCCTCTTAAATCCTGCAGACAGTGCATGTACAGATGAAATCAGTCCCTGCCCCCCTTAAAGAGATCACAAAGTTTATTGTCATACTGAAATATTCTGCAAATTTTTAACTTGAAAAGCAAAGGCTGAACAGCTGGATGGAATGCACA